AGAAAAAACAGCTGGTTTTAGAGGGGAGAGGATAGAGAAATTTGACTTTTCATGTATTTTTGTGATTCTCTTTCGCTTGCAGTATGCTCTGAATCATAATGCAGGGGTTAACAGTGCAGACACTTGGAAAGTGTCCTGCTGGCTAAGTTTGAGTCCTGACTCTACCACTTAAAATTATTATATCCTTAGGGAATTGACCCTTTTGTCACAACATAAAATTGCCCATCTAAACCATTTCTAAGTGTCCAGCACATTAGTCTTAAAACACTGTGTACACATTGTTGTGCAGCACATTTCTGGGACTTTCCATCTTGCAAAACGGAAATGCATAAATCTATTGAACAATAATTCTCCTTTTTCCCCACCCCTCCGCCTCTGACAAACACCGATATATTTTTTCCTGAGCATATGACTGCTTTAGCTCCTGGGGGGAAGGTGGACGAGGGTGGATGCACTGGGAGATGGGGATCAACATGCTTACACTACTCTGTATGAAACGGGTGACTGAGGACAGCCCACTGTGCAGCACAGAGAACGGCCCCGTGCTGTGGTGGTCTGAATGGGAGGAAATCCCCAAAGAGGGGACGTGTGTGTGTGTGTAGCTGTTTCATTTTTCTGTATAATAGAGACTTAACATTGTAAAGCAACTATACTGCAGTAAAAATTAGCTCTTATCTTATGGAGGGAGGAATCTGGGCACAACTTTTCTGGGTCCTCTGCTTAGGATTTCACAAGGCTACAGTGAGGGTGCTGATCTGTGTTGTCATATGGAGGCTCAACTGTGGGAAAATCTACTTCCACATTCATTTAGAACGTTGGGAGAATTTCTGTGCAGCAGTGTGACTGAGGACCCTAACGTTTTCCTGACAGGTGGAGAACTCCCTCAGATCCTGGGGATTGCCTATAGTTTTTTTGCTGCAGGGCTTTCTTTCCTTGGCACTTGGCTTCTTCAAGGCTTGCAGGTGACCCCCTCACTTCAGCCTGTTCGCCCAATCTTATATAATGCAACATAAGAGAGTGACACTTCATCACCTTTCCATATTCTGCTGGTTAGAAGCAAGTCACAGGTTCTTCTTATCCTCAGGGGGATTATATGAAAGCATGCCTCACTGGGGGTCACCATTCTGTGTCCACCACAGCAACTTTAAGAAGATATTAATAACTGTAATCTGTAACATTTTGGTCCCTGTCAAAAGCTAGAAGGAAGAAGGAAATGGCAACCCACTCCAGTACTCTTGCCTGGAGAATCCCAGGGACGGGGGAGCCTGGTGGGCTGCCGTCTATGGGGTTGCACAGAGTCGGACACGACTGAAGCGACTTAGCAGCAGCAGCAAAAGCTAGAAACAGTTGTTGATGCAATTAATAATAAAGAAGCTAATATAGGAAAAGACTAGTTAACATATTTATCATTTTCAGAAACTACATAAGTGAAGCTTCCATGCTAATAATACCAGTATTTGTAAGATGGTTTGTAATTTCATAAGCACTTGTAAATCCATTATTTCATTTGATTTACTTTTAGAATAGTCTTATGAAGTAGATAGATATACCTGTTTACAGATGAATAAGGTTAGCAGGGCCTTCAAAAAAACCTCACACATAGCCAGTAAGTGTATAATCACATATTTTAACATAAAATCCCTTTGTTACTCTCACTAAAGTAGAATGTAGCATAGAACTGTTGGTGGTGTGAATATTCATCAAATATGCTTTGATAATGAGTAAATTTGATTTTATGTAAATATAGTAAATTTGGTATGAAAATGCAAATAAATGAGATTTTTATAATGCAAGTGTCTGTATTTAGCAGCACTGTATCTCTAATCCTCAGAATATTTCTTTAAGATAAGTGGCTTCTCTGTTTCACAGATGAGATAACTAAAGTTTTAGCAGGTTATCATTGCCCAAGGTTATTCATTTGGTAAGTGGTGGAACCGTGAGCTGACTTCAAAATCTAGCATGTCTATTTTAGTCAAAATACCCTCTATTTTTTGCTTTGCATCATTGGATAAAGTCTTTAAATTTTCCAGTTTATAGCTTCTCCTTTTGGAGGTAGTGCATTCCATGTCTTAAAAGTAACATGCTGTTGAATTGTTCTTAAATTAGATATTTTAAATAATTTTATTTATTTGTAGCTGTGCTGGCTTTTTGTTGCTGTGCTGGCTTTTCTCCAACTGTGGCAAGCAGGGGCCACTCTCTAGTTGTGATGGATGGGCTTCTCATTGTGGTGGCTTCTCTTGTTGGGGAGAACGGGCTTCAGGCGTGTGGGCTCAGTAGTTGCAGCTCCCAGGCTTGAGAGCACAGGCTCAGCAGTTGCGGTGCACAGACCTAGTTGCTCCGTGACATGTGGGATCTTCGCGGATCAGGGATCCAACCCATGTCTCCATCATTGGCTGGTGGATACTTTACCACTGAGCCACCAGAGAAACCCCTAGTTTTTTTTATTGTGGTAAAATACACATAGCATAAAACTATTTTTAAGTGCACATTTCAGTGGTATTAAATACATTCACATTGTTATGCCATCACCACTACCATCCATCCCTGTAACTCTTTTCATCTTATAAAATTGAAACTCTATACCCACTAAATAAGTCCCCATTCTCCTCTCCCCACAGCCCTTGGCAATAGTCATTATACTTTCTGTCTTTATGATTTCACTATTTGTATCTCATGTAAATTGAATCATACAGTCTGTCTTTTATTTGACTTATCTCACTTATCTTTAATGTTCTTAACCGTTCATCCACATTGTAGCAGAATAATATATTTATACCACATTTGCTTATCCATTTATTTGTTTATGGACACTTTGATTGCTATAGTGAATAGTGCTGCTATGAACATGGGGTTGTAAATATCTCTTTAAAACCTTGCTTTCAGAGTCACAAAAGGGAAAGGAGTACGGAGGGATAAATTAGCAGGCTGGGATTAACACATACACACTGCCATATATAAAATAGATAACCCACAAGACATACTGTATAGCACAGGGAACTATACCCAGGATTTTGTAATAACCTATAAGGGAAAATAACCTGAGAAAGAATATACACATACACAAGTTTATGTGTGTAACTGAATCTCTGTACTGGATATCTGAAAGTAACATGACATTGTAAATCAACTATACTTTAATTAAAAAAAAAAAAATGTTGTTTTCAGTTCTTTTGGATATATGCCCAGAAGTGGAATTGCTGCATGATATGGTAATTCTATTTTAAATTTTTTGAGGAACTACCACACTGTTTTCCACAGTGGTGGTACCATTTTACACTCACACCAACAGTACACAAGGGTTTCAGTTTTCTGTTGATCTTTGCCAACACTTATGGGCTTTGGTTTTAGGGTAATGCTGGCCTCATAGAACAAATGGGGAAGTGTTTCTTCCTCTTCAATTTTTTGGAAAAGTTTGAAAAGGAAGGTATTAGTTCTTCTTTAAATGTTTGGTAACATGTACTGGTGAAGTCATAAGGTCCAGGGCTTTTATTTGTTGGGAGATTTTGATTACTGATCAGCCTCTTTACTAGTTATAGGCCATAGTTATAGAAATAGAAAACAGATTTTCTATTTCTTTGTGATTTAGTGTTGATAGGTTTTGTGTTTCTAGGGACTTGTCCTTTTCATCTAGATTATCCAATTTGTACAGTTCATAATTTTCTCTTATAGTTTTTTTTTTGATTCTTCAGAATCAGTAGTATTGTCTCCATTTTCATTTCTGAATATAATGATTTGAGCCTTCTCTTTTTTCTTAGTCTATCTAGTTGAAGTTTTGTCAGTTTTGTTTATCTTTTTGGAGAACCAGCTTTTAGTTTGATTGATTTTTCTCCATTGTTTTTCTGTTCTCTTTTTCATTTCTCTTTGCTCTAATCTTCATTATTTCCTTTCTTCTGCTAGGTTTGTGTTTAGTTTATTCCTCTTTTTCTAGTTCCTGAAGTTTTAAAATTAGGTTGTTGATTTGAGATGTCTTTTTTTTCCCCCAAGTGTTTCAAAACTGTAAATTTCCCCTTGAGTGCTACTTCTGTTGCATGTCATAAGTTTAGCATGTTGTTTTTGTTTTCATTTGTCTCTTAAGTATTTTCTAATTTCCCTGTGATTTCGTCTTTGATTCATCAGTTTACAATTATGTTAATTTCCACAATTTCATAAATTTTTCTTTTTTTTTTCTTTTCTTTTATTTTTTTTTCCGTTTTTTTTATCAGTTGGAGGCTAATTACTTTACATCATTACAGTAGTTTTTGTCATACATTGAAATGAATTAGCCATGGATTTACATGTATTCCCCATCCCGGTCCCCCCTCCCACCTCCCTCTCCACCCGATCCCTCTGGGT